CCTTAGGCATGAAATCCAGCTGGATGACTTTGGCCACCTGATGAGAAGGAAGAAGGACTCCCTGGAGAAGACCCTCATGCTGGGAATGATGGAGGGCAGAAGAAGAAGGGATGGCAGAGAAGGAGGTGGCTGGATAGAGTCACCAAAGCAGTCGGCCTGAGCTTCAATGGACTCCAGAGGATAATAGAGGACAGGAAGGCCTGGAGGAACGTGGTCCATGGGGTTGCGATGGGTCGGACACGACTTTGCATCTAACAACAACACATCCAACCTGAATCTTGGCTACACGTAGTCCTCACTTTACAACCATAATTGGAACCGTTGCTAAGCCAGGCAGTTATGCAGGGAGTGACAGGGATTCAAACCGCCGAACTGCTGACCTTTCTGATCGACAAGCTCAGCCTGTTAGCCACTGTGTCCCTGTTATTCCTACATTATGGATGCTCCCCCATTACTGGTGGGGAAACGGGGAGATTTATATTCTAGAAGACGTGTGTTCTATAAACCCTTCCATTCCCCACCAGTCTGTTAGAACTGAAGGAGCTTCTGGGATGAGAAGAGAAACGTTTTCAAATTAGAAATCAAGGAAGTCCAGTTGTCCTTTGCAAAAAGCACCTTTGGGATAACCATGACCTGGATAGTTGAGAATCTTCATAGACACACTAAGAAAATAGCTGGGTTTCCGAAACACACCTGAACATACATGACCCCCTTTATGTCTGGACTCATGCGAATTACAAACTCAAGCCAGTCAGAACAGAGTTTGAGTCCTAAATCCTTTTTCTCTTTTCTTGGAACCTAATCTTTGCACACGGAGTAGGTCGTTTTTAAAACGCTGCATTGCCAGCGTTGCTATCAACAAACCCCGATGTGAGAAGCTGTCCAGAGCCAAAAACTTGGCATCGTCTGGCTTAAAATGTTAGCAGAAGTTCATCCGGCCTGACTTCGAGTCCTCCAAAATGCCTCATTTCACGAGGTGGTTTACCAATGGATGCTACATTTCCCATCCACACGGTTAATAAGTAAAGCACGCCTCTCCTCGCATCAAATCCGTAGGACTCAAACAATCGAGGTTTATATCCGAATGAGAAAAGCCTGAATTTTGCAAAAGCCCATCAATATTTTGGAGAAGAAATGGAGAGAAAGACCCAAAAAACACCAAAGGAGAAGTCAGCTACCAGGGCTGCCCCAGAGAGGAGGAAGGGGGTCAAGCTATTCTCCAAAGCCCCTGAAGGCCAGAGAAGGAAGAATGGGTGGAAACTGACCAAGGAGAGATTCAACCTGGAAACAAGGAGGAATTTCCTGACATAGCAATAGCAGTTAGACTTATATACCACTTCATAAGGCTTTCAGCCCTCTCTAAGCGGTTTACAGAGTCA